GCCACTGCACTCCAGTCTGGGCGACAGAGTGAGACTCCAACTCAAAAAAAAAAGAAGAGATGAGGTCTCACAAGTTGTCCAGGCTGGTCTCGGCTCAGACCAGCCTTAGGCTCAGGCATTCTTCTCACCTTGGCCTCCCAAAGTGCTGGGATTACAGGCTGAGCCACCACGCCTGACCCAGTATTACATTTTAAAAGCCTCCGTAAACAATTTATGTGGAGAACAAGATATGGGGACAAGAATGGAGACACAGAGGCCAGTGAGGGGCTGCTGCAGTGGCCCAGGAGTAAGGGAGAAACCTGGGTCAGGTGGGCAGTAGGGATAGTGAAAAAGAGCAGGCTCTGGGCCTCTTATAAAGTAGAGCCAACAGGTGTTGCTGATAGATTGGGCGTGAGGTGAGGAAAAGCCTCAATAAGAGGCCTAAGTACTAGAAAAGCACAGGTGCCTTTGTGCACAGAGATGTAGCTGGCGGGCGTGGAGACCAGGAGTTTGATTCTGGGTGTGTTAGGCTTAAGCTCAAGGAGTGTATCAGTGGCATTCACAGCCAGGAGACAGATTAGCGCAACCAGAGGAGTGGTCAGAAGGCTGAGCCTGGCTGGAATCCTGGAGCTGAGGGCTGGAGGACAGCGAGATCCTGTATAGGACACCTGAACCAGCCACCAGCGAGAGATCTCCAAGGGTAGTGTCCTGGAAACCCATGAGAGTGCTTCAAGGTGGGCTCGAGCAGCTGCGACACAGGCTGTGGAGAGGATGGGCCAGGTGAGAGCTGAGAATCCACCTCTGGATTTGGCAGCACAGAGATCAATGGGAACTCTGGCAAGAGATGTCTTGATGAGGTGGTATGGATGAAAGCAGGCCCGAGTGTATAGACAGCTCTTCAGGAGTTTGGCTGCATGTGGGGGAACAGGAGGAGCTAGAGTCAAGAAACGATGTCTCAAGCTGGGGGATGGCATTGCGTGTCAGTATGCTGATGGGGATGATCTGGTCAAGACAGTCAGGATATATCTTATCATTGTTGATCTCCTCTGTCCTATGTGGGTGACTCACTCCCATCCAAAGTGAGGACAGTATCAGCACATGCGCTAAGCTGGGTGAGATCTCACTTCCACCACTTGGAGGGGTTGGGAACCCCTGAGTGTGTTTCCTCACCAGTGCAATGGGAATAGTCCTGACCTCCCAGGACAGCTGAGTGTATGAACCAGAGAATGCTCTCAGAACAGCCGGAACATTGCTTCATGAGCACATGGCAGACATTCAACATTACAGAAGACTATATTGGCCTAATTGTGGCTTTCCAGAAGTTTCTACACCAAGGCAGATGACTTGTACAGTTTCAGCATATGCTCACCACATCCAGACAGCAGACTGCGTTGAGCTCACAAAAGGCCAGATGTTTTCTTTTTTCTCTTTTTTTGAGTTGGAGTCTCACTCTGTCGCCTGTTGCCCAGGCTGGAGTGCAGTGGTATGCTCACGGCCACCCCAGTGTCGACCTGCTGGGCTCCAGCGATCCTTCCACCTCAGCCTTCCAAGTAGACAGAACTACAGGTGTGCACTACCATGCCCTGCTAATTTTTTATTTATTGTAGAGATGAGGTCTCGTCAAGTTGACCAGGCTGGTCTCAAACCCACGGGCTCAGGCAGTCTACTCACCTTGGCCTCCCAACGTGCTGGGATTACAGGCTGAGCCATCAAGCCGGCCAATGCCAGATGTTTTCAACAGCAGCAGGACCAAGTGTATATCATTAGGGTGGGGCGAGTCCTCCCAGAAGCAGGGGGTGATGGTTGGGTTCCAGCTGAGATGGGACGGTGACTGCTCGGTCCGTGTTTGGTAATACACGTGCAAGGACATGTCAGTAATAGGACGACTGCTTGCGACAAAGGGAGAAAATTAGTGTATTAGAAAGGGACTGTTAGAGGGGATGAGAGGCAGCTCTGAAAACATGGGGAAGATTTGGACATGGAAAACACTGATCTCTGGTACCCCAGGCAGCTGGTAGAGCTCTCGGCAGGGACACCAAGAGATGGACTCAGTTTTCAGTGTTGTTAGCGAGGAGGCGAGAAGGCACCATGGGACTGCCACGAGGACTAGCCACACAGGCGCCCGGCCCCTGGAGAGAGGGCGGGACACAAAGATGAGGCTGCTGGTGCAGCCTGAAGGTGCTCAGGACCTCAAGAAGGAGGCAAGCGATGTGCTAAAAGCAGTAGTGGAAATAGGCAAGAGTATTATGGAATTCCAGGTCGGGATGCTTAGCCCTGCCTGGGCAGGCAGAACAGCTGGGAGTGGCCCCTGGCTGGCTGTGCTGCTTTCTAGCTGTGCAGCCTGAGGCAAGTCGTCTCTCTTCTGAACCTGTGGTTCCTCAGGAATCTCAGACTCTGGAGGTTGCACCACTCCCTGAGCCTCCAAAGTTCCAGAGAGTGGCTACAGAGAATGTGCTAGGTTGTAGCTGACTGAATCAGACCTTCCTAACTGGCAGTGGGAAAGGGTGATGGGGAGGCCTCTGATTTTTCACTGGGAGGGAGGCAAAAACATTTAATCCTCACACCAGTCAGTCAATGATCAACACATGCCTACCAAGGCTGACTCTGGACCAGGCACTGTCGCGGAGGAAATGGGTCTTCAGCCACAGGAAGTCTGCCCATACCTGGGATGAGGAGGCTCCAGGGGGAGGCCTGTCCGGGGGAGAGTCTTTGTGGAACAGAGCTTTCAGTAGTCACCGTTCTTCAGGTGTTTTACGAAGCTGTGGGACCTGCCTAATGCCACACAACTTTTCTTTCTTTTTTTTTTTTTGAGTTGGAGTCTCTGCTGT